TTGTACTCGTATGCCACTCTCGAATAGTCGTAGCGTCCTGTGTAGTATAAAACCTGTCGTACTTCTCCCTAAAAACACAAGATCCGTTCCCCCCCCTCGAGTTCAGAGCTCATAAGTCGAGTTCGCCCTGCGTCTACGTCCTCAACTGCGTCACTTCGTTCCTCACTGCGTAACCTCGAAACCTCGTCCACTGCGTTCACTCGTCGATACCGTCTCGACGAACCTTTCGACTTCGACTACTGTCGAAGAAACTGCGTTGCACCTCGAACCGCGTCCTAGTTAAGTCCCCCCTATCGAATCGTGTCCCTTCTCTCTACGATACGTCGAAGAGCTCTACCGAGCTTCGATCGTTGCTAACTTTCCACAGCCTCCGAGTAGCTTCGACGACGTGTCGAAGCCACCTCGTACCTTCCCTAGCATTCGTAGCCTTTTCCGAAGGCGTTTCTTGTGTTCACTCGATCCGCGGGACACCTTGCTGCTAACTCCCCTCTCATTAGACTATAATCCGTCTCTCTAGTCCCTTTAGGTCGCACCCAGGTTAGGGGTTAGGGTTTCGTAGGTCGTATCATTTCTGGAGCCCACCGCGAGGGGATTTCAGGCAAAAATTCGCCGCTTTCGGGTTTCCGAAAACGTCTCCAGTAGTCACCCGCTCGCAAGCGCGTGAGGCTGCTAGCCGCAGCACCGCTGAGAACCTCGACAGCTCCTCTAGAACGCAATCGACTCCCTCTCCAACAATCCCCGGTGACTTCGACCGCGACGAAGAAGACGAGATAGACCAAGAACTCCAGGACGACTTCGACGAAGAACCAATCCCTTCGACCGCCGAAGAACACACTTCGTCCCCCGAGCTTCTAGGCCTCACTACTTCCGACTACGACTTTTCGACTCCTGATCTTTTCGAACGATCCAGTTCTTCACCCGAACCCGAGTATCCCATCCCATCTACTTCGAATCTCGTACTTCCGACTCCGTCGTCTTTTCGCGCCCACGCACAACCGCCCATCGCATCCTCTTCGCAACTTTCAATCATACCTTCATCCGACCTGGCACCTCCGCCACCTTTAGCACCTTCGAACGCAGCTTCGAACTCCAACCCCGCACCGCCCGCACCTACGATTCCTTCAACTACTACCGCGTCCTCTTCGAGCCCCGCTCCTACTAACACCACGAACATGAGTCAGAACACGAACACACCATTGATGCCCCCGCGCGGTCATTCGATGGCACCAAGCTTCGACCCATCGGAAGTCCGTTCGCTTCGGCGTTACTTCCAGGACCTCGAAGCATTATTCACCCGGTGTCAGATTACCGACGAAGCAGCTAAGAAACAATGGGCCGTTCGGTATCCTTCGATCAACGTCGCCGACTTGTGGGAAACCATCGAGTCCTTCATCGACGTAGCCAAAAGCTACAACGACTGGAAAGCCGACGTACGAGCACTCTATCCTGGCGCCGACGATACAAGAAAGTGGTCGCTGGCAGACATGGATCAGCTCATCGGAGAACGCGCTCGTATCGGGATTCACAACGCGGCAGACCTAGGCTGCTATTACCGCGACTTCATGGCCATTACGAAACATCTCATCGCACAGCACCGGCTCTCTACTATCGAGCAAAGTCGCGCATTTCTTCGAGGATTCCAGCCAGCATTGCTCACACGGCTCGAGACCCGACTGCATCTCAAGCATCCCGATCACTACGCCGACGACCCGTACACCATGGCAGAGATTCACGCGGCGGCTACGTTCATCTTACATGGTACATCGAGCACACCTACGACGGCGGCTAACCAAGCTACCGCTTCGACGTCGAACACTTCGACAACGGTGCCCCCCGGGATGATCAAAACTGAAGACATCTCGATGATCATCGAAAGCCTGTCGAGAACGATCGCAACACTCATTCAGCCGACGACACACGCTACGCACAACCACGCCCCCGCACCGAGACAACAAGCTGCTGTCCACGTCCACGAGAACAGCGGAGTTGAACAGACGTGCCACTACTGCGGCAATCGTGGCTGCAGGGTAGGCACCTGCGAGTTCGCGGAGATCGACATCCGGGACGGCAAGTGCAAGCGTAACACCGAAGGAAAGATCGTCCTTCCAAACGGAAGCTTCTGCCCCCGCACTATCCCTGGTCTCACGATACGAGATCGAATCTACGAGTGGCATAGAAGAAATCCCACAGCACCCGCCGCTCCGACGATGCTCTTCGAGATCGACGATCGCTCGACTATGCAAACCTTCATGCTCAACACCAGCAGTAGGATCGAGGCGCTCGAGCGAGAACTCCTTCAGCTTCGGAAGCGAAGGGAGGTCTTCGACGGCGTCGAGATTCTACAGCGGAAGAAGCCTACGACACCAGTCGTCACGAGAAGCGCCGAAGCCTCGGGATCTGGTACATCGAAGGGAGTGGCGGCACCCTCGAGCACTTCGACAAGCACGGCCCCGCCTCCGACGATACCAGCAGCAGCACCCGCGTCGTCTTCTTCCCCACCTACGCAATCCACATCTCGACCTACTACTACGTCCGCTCCTCCAGCACCACCAGTACACCCTTTCGCAAACACTCGTGACGCAACTTACGCCCCACCGAACGTTCGGAACTTCGCAACTCCGCCGAAGCCCTCGAACGACAAGGGCAAGGAACCAGCGTACAAGACCATCGTCCCCGTTATCCAGCCGAAGCTCGTCGAAGAAATCTTCCAGCGTTCGATGAAGTCGCCGTTCGTCACGCTGACCCCAGAAGAGTTGCTGTCAATCGCGCCCGACGTTCGAAACAAATACCGCGACGCCGTCACCCCTAAGCGAGTCTCGACGGAACCCGTCGCGTCGGCCCACATCGTAGAAATCGGCGCCGACGAGGTCACGGCCGTCAACCAGCTCTCGTGTTCAGGTGCAACGTTGGAACCCGGTGCTACAATCGTCCCCGACCCATATGAAACCTATCTGAAGCACATCCCGCACGGCGAGCACCCCGCAGAATTCACCGTCGCCCGCGATTCGAACGCGATTCGTTCGATCATCGCGTTGGTCGACAACAAAGAGCAGATCGAATGCATCGTCGACCCCGGTTCGCAGATCGTCGCCATGTCGGAAGAGGTCTGTCTCGGCCTCAACCTCCTCTTCGATCCTACAATCCAGCTGAACATGCAATCGGCGAACGGCGAGGTGGACCGATCGCTGGGACTCATTCGAAATGTTCCCTTCCGCATCGGTGAGATCGTTTTGTATCTCCAGGCTCACGTCATTTGAAACGCAGCGTACGACATCCTCCTCGGCCGATCCTTCGACGTGCTCACGCAAAGCGTCGTCAAGAACTTCGCCGACGAGAACCAGATGATTACAATCCTCTGTCCGAACACCGGCGAAACCGTCACAATTCCGACGTACGCGCGAGGAAGATCGCGAAGCCGGCAGCATCCTGTCGGGTGTCGCAAATCGCATTTTCTAGCTTCGAGGAATTGATTCCCCATGATCAAGGAGAAGCCGCGCTAGTCATCGACTATGATGGGGTAAACCCGAGTATTTCCTTCGTCGCTCCTATTGACTCCTTGATTCCGAACGCTGTTTCGTCACTGTACCTCTCTGCATGCACCTCCGTTTCTTCATATTTGCAGTCTCTTTACGCCTCGGACAGTACAGCTTCTAATGCCGCCCCGTCGAACGCTTCGACGTGGGCTTCGACTCTTCTATTCTCAGCTCCGTTCGCTTCGACTCCGCCAGCTCCCGCTCCGACGAAATCCATCTCACAGTTTTCCAACTCAATTCTTCCCTTTCCTTCGACGACATCGACTTCTACCCCTTCAACGCACAAGATACTCGCCGCGACAAAGAAGAAGTACAAGCCTGTCGCTCTCAAAACTCGACCCGTCCTTGGTGCCGTCCCCGAACAATTTCGAATACTTCGAGACATCAAGGGCGACCCTCTCTCCATCATGCCCAAGCTTTCGACCGACCCCCCGCCGTTCAAACCTACCGGTCGGTACACCCTCGAACGCTTCGAAGCAACGAATAAGCTTCACGACGGCGACTTCCTACTTCCCGAAGAACGTCGAGTCCTCCACCACTTCATGTGCCTGCACAACGAAGCCTTCGCCTGGACCGACGACGAGCGCGGATGTTTCAAGCCCGAGTACTTCCCCCCCATCGATTTCCCCGTCGTTCCTCACACGCCCTGGGTGCAGAAGAATATCCCCATCCCGCCCGGGATCTACAACGAAGTCTGCGCGGTGATCAAGCGAAAGATCGCCGCCGGAGTCTACGAGCCATCAAACTCGTCGTATCGATCGCGTTGGTTCTGTGTCGTCAAGAAGGACGGTAAATCTCTTCGACTTGTCCATTCCCTCGAGCCCCTCAATGCAGTCACGATCCAACATTCCGGTGTACCGCCAACGCCCGAATACCTCGCAGAACAATTCGGAGGAAGACCATGCGGCGGCATGCTCGACCTCTACGTCGGCTACGACGAACGACTCATCGCCAAGTCTTCGAGAGATCTAACGACGTTCCAGACACCCTACGGAGCTATGCGCCTAGTCACACTCCCGATGGGTTGGACGAACTCGGTCCCGATCTTCCACGACGACGTCACCTACATCCTGCAGCCCGAGATTCCGCACGTTACGGTGCCCTACGTCGACGACGTTCCCGTCAAGGGTCCCGAGTCCAACTACGACGACGAGCGACTCCCTTCGAACCCCGGCATTCGACGCTTCGTATGGGAGCATTTCGAGAACATGAATCGCATAGTCACTCGAATGCGCTACGCTGGAGGTACCTTCTCTGGAGTCAAAAGTATCCTCATCGCTCGAGAAATCATGGTGGTAGGACATCGCTGCACTCCTCAAGGACGCCTCCCCGACGACTCTCGCGTCGCAGCAATACGCAACTGGGGTCCATGCGCTACTCTATCCGACGTTCGAGCGTTCCTCGGAACCATCGGCGTCGTTCGAATCTTCATCCGTAATTTCGCTCACCGCGCCGACGCACTCGTACGCCTCACGAGGAAGGACGTCGAGTTCGAGTTCGGTCCGGAGCAGATCGCGGCGCAGGAAGACCTCAAGGACGCGCTACTCTCATCCCCCGCACTCCGAGCAATTAGTTATGATTCCCCCTCTCCCGTCATTCTCGCAGTCGACACGTCGTTCATCGCCGTTGGATATCACCTCTGCCAGTGCGACGAAGCCAACACGCGAGTCCGTTACTACAGCAGGTTCGGCTCGATCACACTCAACGATCGCGAACGAAGGTTTTCGCAGCCGAAGCTCGAGATCTACGGCCTGTTCCGTGCACTACGATCCCTTCGACTCTACCTGATCGGCGTTCGGAACCTCATCGTCGAAGTCGATGCTCGGTACATCAAGGGTATGCTGAAGAATCCGGACATAGCCCCAAGTGCGAGTATCAACCGGTGGATCGTCTCGATTCTCACATTTCATTTCACGCTAGTCCACGTCCCCGGTACAATGCACGGCCCCGACGGTCTCTCTCGGTGCACAGCTCAGCCCGGGGATGTCATCGAAGACGAGGTTGACGACGAATTCGACGATTGGATCGACCAGATGCATTCCTTCATTCACCAGATTCAGCCCCTCCCATCCGTCCAGATGCGTGCCATCTTCACCAATGCCCGAGCCGAGGACGGCTCCGATTTCAATAGGGAGGAGGATAGCTACGAGCTAGTGCCTCGATCGGAGCAAGCGCAACTCGCAGATGCAAAGCTCGACGACATGCTCGAATTTCATCGAACGTTAGCAAAGCCCGACGGCATCTCCGAAAGCGTTTACGAAGGATTCATCAAGTACTGCATGCAATTCTTCCTCGACAACGACACCCTCTGGCGCAAGGACAGTCACGGAGCACACAAGCTAGTCGTCAAGCCCGGCGATCGCCTTCGAATACTTCGAGAATGCCACGACCGCACCGCGCATCGAGGAATCTATGCAACCCGAGCCTTCGTCAATGAGCGATTCTGGTGGCCATTCCACTACGCCAACATCGCCTGGTTCGTTCGATCGTGCCATATCTGCCAGTCTCGACAAGTGCGTCAAATCCTCATTCCTCCGACCGTCGCAGTACCAGCCCCCATCTTTGCGAAAATTCACATCGACACAATGCACATGCCAGCTTCGGGCGGATACAAGTACTTGGTCCAAGGTAGATGCTCGCTCACGACTTACCCCGAGTTTCGAATGCTTCGAAAAGAGACAGCAAAGGCCCTCGCCGACTGGATCTTCGAAGACATCCTCTGTCGATGGGGCGCGCTCAGCGAGATCGTCACCGACAACGGTACGGCGTTCATCAAGGCGGCCGATTACCTTTCGAAGAAGTACCACATCAACCATATT